TAAGGGTAAGTTGGGCAGCGGAGTCGAGCACAGCACGGAGTACAGTATGTTGACCATGTTGTGAAGAGACATGAACTAAACATGTACCAAGAAGGATTGTGGTTTTAGTTGGATTGAGTTGACTAGACAATCCTACAAAAGCGTTAACGTTTGTAGAAGCAGTAGGATTAATAGTTGTTGTATTCTTTGAAGATGAATTAGGTGTGTAGGTCTTATTTTGAGGAGACAGCTTAGTTTGATAGCTTGACTGTGCCTGAAGTGAACTACGTGTGGGCTCATGCAATAGAGTATGGTGATGTTTGGAACAAATCTGACACACTTTACTTGAGGGGCAGTTGAGTGTGTTATGAAGATAACCGAGGCAGTTTGTACAAATCCTATTCTTGCGAATAAACTCAGATCTTTCACTCACACTTCTAGCTAGGAAAGCTTGACACTTGTATATGTTGTGATCTGCAGCTTGACAAAATCTACAAGAGTTGGTTGTGGCGATTAGAGCAGTTTTTGTATGGTTGGTGAAATGTGGCTTACTTTCACGCGTAAACTTATTAGGCCTAGTTATGTTTGTAGGACACTTTAGGCCAGTGGAATACTTTGAGGTAGATGGTGAACTGAGACAAATACTAGCACCTTCTAAACGTTTGAATTCCATTTCAAGAAAGGTCATTAAATCATTAACAAGAGGGATCTCGTTGTTTAAGGCGCGAGAGTCTTCAAAAGATTTTCTAATATCAGCTGGGATCTTCTTTAAAAGTGTTAAGACTAACAGGGTGTTTTCAGTTGTAATGTCATGATTTAAGTTTTTCAAGGCTTGAGTATTTTCCTTATATACAGTGAGAAATGATTGTAAGCTCTTAAGCGAACCACTAGTAATGGGCGACAAATCCAGAATTTTTGTAACAAGCTGAGTGACAATACGTCTCTTGTTTTCATAGCGATCCTTGAGAAGTCGAAGGGCTACCACATAGTTTTCAGGAGTAATATTAAGACTCTTAACCAAGTCTAAGGGCTCACCACTCAGGGCACTAAGCAAATACTGAAACTTATTCACTGGGGAGACAGAATTATTCGCATTGACAGAGGCTTCAAAAATATTATAGAAACTAACCCACTCTTCATAGTTACCACTAAATTTAGGCAACTCAAATTTAGGCAGGCGCAGAGAAGCTGGAGGTGGAGTAGGTGTTACAACAGGTTCAACTGGCAAAAGAACTTTAATGTCACTTATAAGGGCTACATACAAGTCAGAAAGTTCATCATGCATTGAAAATGATTCCTCCTCATCACAATCAGAAGCAGGGTCATCAGTCACAACTCTATTAAATAAAGTTTTAAAGTCAGTAAATAGATCTCTGACCTCCTCATTATAATTGTGTAAACGCTGTATATTAGCAGGAGTCAATTCTTGACCTTCAGTTCGAGGAAGTTGGTTTGACAAATATTTATTTATTTTCTGAAACCTGTTTTTAACAAGTTTTGCTTTTCTTTGTAGGGTAGTGAATCTCATCATGAACAAACAAATTAAATAACACACAACAAGAATAGATGAGTTTTCATAAAATAGCCCAATATCTTAAATTAATAATGATCTCATAAATCTAGGCCTACTGAAGTGCATAAATCAATTTGCAATTCAACTTCAATAGTAAAGTGAAGTCAATTATCAATTTGTTATTATCACCAATAATCTCTGTTGACAATAATATTTACAATAATGAATAAAGAGAGTATAGCAATAACAATAATTACCAGTTTTCTCCAGTTCAGGACCCTTATCAATTAGTATTTGATTAAATAAATAATGTCTTCATTTTTCAACAACATAAACAAACTTGCAGGTTATGTTGATATGTTTCAATTCAATATCGGGTTATATTTAAACAAACAGCTGATGTAGATGAACAGAGTTTTGATGAGTTGAGTTTTCAGTTTAATAGCAGACAGGTGATTGGTTCGTCCTCAGTTCCACCGTTTCACTAATCTTGTAGGTTATTGGTTGCCATGTAGCGCAGAGCGATCTGTTGGCGAAGTTGAGAACTACCAACTACCAAGGTGTATCGCAAAGGACAGAACGTTGTTACAAAATGGCGGACAATGGGATAGAATATTTCAGGGAAATAACTACTAACTAACTTTGCAGTTTTATTTATAAACCCAAATAATAAGACTGAATTGATTGTGAGACCTTATTATTTAAAAGGATTTTATGGATGAGATGTGAATAAATATTCAATCCTACAAATTTTCTACGCTTGATTTATTTCAAGACAAACTAGGTAGGCCTAACTTGACGTGATTTAGGTGGCAGTGACAAAATTGAACATGAAAATAATTGTCTGGTATGAAACAGGAATGGACATTAAAATTGTTCGTAATAATGTTTCACAAGACAAAATATTACCAGTTAGGGATGTGACACTGATTATAAACATTCATTTGAGAAATAAATTATTGTACTGTAGCAATTATATTTTAATTGGCAAATGTAGTCCGGGTCGACAGGACCAGCGAATGGGGGGTAAACTTCGATATGGTGGACTGTATAAAAAATGAGGGATGTGAGATATATTATGTTAAGATCAGCTTTAGAGACACACTGTGAGCACAAAATAATAAACTTTTAAATAGGAAGAAATGTGATTTGGTACCTTCCTTTTTACTGAAGTGATGTCTAGTAGACCGTTGACGCACTTGATGTTTGCTGGCCAGCTTTCGCGTACGCGACCGGTAGTTGCACCAAGAACAGTTTGAATACAGTTTTTAACTATTCAGTTCACTTTTTTGTTAGGTGTGTCACAAATAAATACATAAGATAAACATACGATAATATAAGTTCAATTTATATGCCACAAATAGAGTAGGGGAATATTATAATACAAAACTAGGGAAAATGGCGAGAACATGATGCCGGGTTGAAGAGTACATGAGGAATGGGGGGAATTGCCAGACATCACGTGACAGGGCAAGGGTCAGAACAAAATATGAATGAAGTCTGGATTCACCTAGGTTGCGTAGATGCTTGAATACGGAACATATATTATTTTCTTGCATGTTTAGGGCTACTAATATAATAAAAATCAAAAACATATTTAACAAAGTACCCTTTTAGTAATTATTTTATTTTTCATGACGACATGTTTCGGAGACTAAGTACATTATCAAGTCATTATATATATATATATTATTTTAAATCTATTTCAATGATTGTGAAACTGATTTTTCTCTCCGTTGAGACCCACGGATACAGCAGCTAGTATGTTTATAAAGCTAGGAAGGCTTAGAACTTTTGAGAAAACCATAAGCGGCACAACTATCAACCACATAAGGCACACTACTTAAATAAAAGGTCTGATGTGAAACTTGTAAGTTATTTAATTACGTTTAAAATTGAAGATATTATAATTATAATAATTATTATTATTATTATATTATAGGCTAGGCCGAGGGAAATATATTTCATGATGGTTGGCCTCTGGATCGTTAAAATTAGCACTAATAAGGTTTAAATTACCTGGCTTCTGTCATCGATCCTCGGTAGTTTATGAAACTACAGCTGTTTCATGCCTATCACTGGCACATCTTCAGGTTTGTTGAACGCCAGCTTCTTTATAAAACATCCCTCGGTGTTGAGTTCGTCATGGTTACACAAAAAACATGTTGACATTTACACACACGAAAACACGCACGAAACATTTAAACATTAATTAAAGAACGACTGCGAAACGTGATGCGGCGCCGGTGATGGATAAGTCGCGACTGTCACGTGTCGGCAGCGTTGACGTTGACCCCTACCCCTGTTCTATCCTTATCTTTTCTTTCCTTGGTTTGGTAATCAGATATCAGAAATATCAGATATCAGATATATGGACACAATAGAAGAATACGAAATATATAAGGCATCAAAAGAACAACCACATCATATTTTGAACGAAAAACAGTCCTTCGAGTCTAATATAATTTACAACACAGCCATTCTGATATCTGATTACCAAACCAAGGAAAGAAAAGATAAGGATAGAACAGGGGTAGGGGTCAACGTCAACGCTGCCGACACGTGACAGTCGCGACTTATCCATCACCGGCGCCGCATCACGTTTCGCAGTCGTTCTTTAATTAATGTTTAAATGTTTCGTGCGTGTTTTCGTGTGTGTAAATGTCAACATGTTTTTTGTGTAACCATGACGAACTCAACACCGAGGGATGTTTTATAAAGAAGCTGGCGTTCAACAAACCTGAAGATGTGCCAGTGATAGGCATGAAACAGCTGTAGTTTCATAAACTACCGAGGATCGATGACAGAAGCCAGGTAATTTAAACCTTATTAGTGAAATATATTTGTTTAAATCCCTATAAGTATAGGGGTAGCCATAACTTTTCATATTTTGCAAATTGATAAAAAATATGGCTAATATAACATTCTGATTTTGAAGTTTTTTGGAACAATTAATTGCTGGTAACATTAAACTATTTTTCAACATTAGGCCTACAACGTCTAAAACAGATATAGAGATTATTAGTAGATTTCAAAATCCATTTATTGCCGTCAAAATTAAACACTATAGCAACATCTTACACTTAAAATGGTTTACAATACCTGCATATAGTAATCCTTTGCTGATTTTGGCAACTAGTATCGGCTCTTCTGAACCATCATCAAGCCTCAAGGTGTTTAATCACTTCATTCGAAGGTGGTTAACAAACAGAGTTCAATAAATAAAACATATACAAAACACGATAACACGGAACGGACAGACATTACAAAAAACACGAATAACACTAAGGGACATTGACAATCCAGGCTGAGTTAATGGTTGTAATCCGGAGGCTAAACAACTATTTTAAAATGAACGTCTAACAATTATATTTTATAATATCATGAATATTCTAGATTTATAAGATCATGAATATTGTAGATATGTAGTAGGCCTATGTTAATTTTTTTAATGTTTTGAACTAAACTGTATCAACTTCTGTTTAAGTAATATATATTATTATTTCAGTGGACTGTATTTTCAAGTGTTGTGCTGTTGGTGTTCTTCACGTTGTGGCTGATATACCACTCACATTCATACCGCTTGGCTCTATTCACTGTGTTCTTGACTATATTCATGGCAGGATTTGGATTTAACTGGATAAGAATGTATGAGGTATGTTGTAGGGGTATGATAGATCATACGTGTAGATAAATTCTTAAGGATCTGTTGTAGAAAGTTTGAAGTGCTGTAGCCTAACTTACAATATGTTGTCCGATCAGTTAAATGTTGAAAGTATATTGTCGGTGTATTCGACACTCAAATCAGTATACTACAGTCTGTTGGTGGCTTGATTTAACTAGCCCATTTTGATTATAAAACTGGACACAACTTCAACATTGATATTTAATGCCTAGTTGTATTAATAGTCAAAGCTCATATTTAACAATACCTACAATTTGTGCCATCCTACTGTAGTTTACGCAACGATCACGCAAAGATAGTGATAACGACACGAGTAGAAATGAAACTTCTACGAGTGTCGTTAAGACTATTTACGTGAGTTGCGTACACTACTTTACCTACAACAGTTTTTTAATTACTAAAAATCACTACTCATAATTTCTAAGATAGGTTATGTTTTTGTTTATTACCTCTCATTGCCACTGACAGTGATTGAACGAATCATTGTACCAAACAGTTATTGCACCACTCATTAAACAAATTGGTTTAAACAACTGATTATTTGACGTTCCAAGCATACAGTTTTACTTATTCTCTCTCAATCCTTGAACCTCATTGGTCCGTTACCCATTTTGTTAAGGAAATCAACAATGCTGTTAAGTAATTAAACAATGCTGTTAAGTGAATCTTTTCAATTCTAAGAACTGAACTGAACTTTAAATAATGGTCGTAGGTAATAGTATTTAAACTTTGTTACATGATTTCTAGGAAGAAGAATCCAAACGGTTTACAGAATTGGTGATAAATGGTAATGCTCCAAGACATTGTACCGCAGCGGCTCAGTCAATGGTCTGGTATGAGCACATGTACTACAGAATGTTTGGTAAGTGATTGTTTTGGACAAGTCTTCTAAACTTTAGTAGAATGTGCAATAAATTATATGGGACACAAAAAACTGTGAATTGGGATTTGGATCAAATTTTTATGGATACAATTTATTTTTAATTATAAATGTGACAGTATAATTATTGCAGTTGTTTAAGGCTTCTTTGTTTCTATTGTGTAAAAAAAAAAAAAAAAAAAAAAAAAACTATATATAGATGTTTCATAAAATAAGTTACAAAAGTTTTTAATTTTGAGAAGTAGGCCCTACCGGTATTGGTTTGCTTGCAACATCTATAATATTAAAACGAAAAAGGGTTTTTTTGTTTCACGATTCTGAATCAACCACTCGACGGATTTTCATGATTTTTGTGTTGAAAGAAAGATAATTTTGAAAACTAGGGAATGTCCAAGCCATAATTTTAGTTTAGGGTCCCAGTTATTTAGAAATTAAGTTTTAATTTTTGAAAAGTCTAGCAGCCGACGCTAAGATTCTAAACTAGCTTTTGGTGTAATATAATTTGTTTAACATAACAGCTGTAAACATTCAGCGTTTGTAACACAAATTCAGCATTTGGATAAAATTAAAAGACATACTAAGGGTTGACTTATTTATACTATGTGTAATGCTAATCATTGATACGTTCAATCCTTCGATAAGGGGATGACAGATTTTTTTAATATACATAGGTAAAATACTATGATGTTCAAAGGATTTTTTAAATAAAAATCTTTGCAATCTTCGGTTTGTTTTAGTACAACATAATTTTCTTTTAACTAACAGCTGGTTAAATATAAAAATGCTCTGAAGAACTATGAGGTTATTTTATTGACTCTGATTTGTCATTGATTTTTAAGATTAGTAGACCACCGAGAAAAGTAACACCATCGATGTATACAAGTCAAGGCTCTGTCTGTACACGAGTCTTAAAAAAGGACATGCAAATTATTATACTGCTCAACTTTTTTAGGAAAGGGTAGGAAAATCCATTTTTTACACGTTTTAATTCATCTTGGTTTGTTTACAATCAATGTTTTTGAATGATTAAACATGGTTTGGATTAGGCCCAGAAATATTGATGTCAAAAAGAAGGAGATCAAGAATCCTCATGAATACAATTTTAAATTACCACCACAACCCAGACGGGTTTTATCCAAAGATATACAGATATGAATGACATAGATTGAGCACAACGTCATCATTGACTTAGGATACTGCAATTAGACTAACCATCCTTTTATGAAATCTAAAAAGTTGTTTGGCGTGTGTTTAGTTGTGGTTACATTTGGAGGCGCTGAATATTTTATAGTTTAAATAAATGAATATGGGGAATTACGGTGTACATTGATTCAATGAGGGTGGTTTAATTATTAAGGATATTAGAAGTGATAACGGAATGGATAATAAGCATAGACAATTAATTACGTCACTAGCTTTACTAGCATGTTTTACGTTTTAAATTCCTTCAACATGTGACCAGTTATTTTGTTCAAATGAAAATTATTTTATTTTTGACTCAGCTGTTTACCAAAACAAACTATATGTTGTTGTTTTTACTTTTCTTGGTTTACACTTATTTATTTAGCAATTGATGCAGTGAAATTGATATAAAGGATATGTGTGGACGATTCGTTTAATGATGTCAGGACACCAACGTTATAATTATGTGTACTGTGAATTTAATTGGATGTTTTCGTTTTATTTTAGGAAGTTTCTATTCAGACCTACTGGAAATTGTGTATAGTATGAGTAATTGTATTGTGTTGATATTGATTATGGAAGAGGCAGGTATGCGATGGAATTGGAAGGTGATATCGTTGACTAGGCCTATACACTTTCTCAATTGATAATTACTCTTTCTACTGTAGGCTGCTATAAAATTTGTCTTTATACGTGTAAGCTAGCTGTTCTGATTTATACACAGTTTTAACTGACTACTCCCGTACGTAGGACGGGCTAACACCTCGTTCCTATAAATATCCAATGTTGATAGATTCAGAAACTATCCAACTAACCAATCACAGGCTGCTACTTGTTATGTTGTCATCAGTCCCGAGCAAATGAAATTTATTGTGAGATAGCGCACATCAAAACAGATGTGAAAGGAACATACGATTGTCAGCGGAAGCGTTGCCGTTATCTTCAAGCTAATAACTGATATTTTTTGTTCTGTTTTGTTCCTGCCAAATGATGAACCGTGATGTCTCATCTATATATTAATTTGAAACTGTTTTTCTTTGTCATAGCTAAATTGAGAGAACGGCTGGGCGTAGAAACTCGGTAGGGGTGTCTAAAGAAAGGTCTTGGTCTGTAGATGAGCCATCAAAAGAGAAACGTGGTAAATTCCCTTGGGGCTCTGCCCCAGTGGCCTTTGAATTCCCATCCCATGTTATTCTTATGGAGGAAAAACTGGGTTTTTGTCCCAGCTAATGTGAGAGAACGGCTGGGCGTAGAAACTTGGTAGGGGTCTCTAAAGAAAGGTTTTGGTCTATAGATGAGCCATCAAAAGAGGAACGAGGTTAATTCCCTTGGGGCTCTGCCCCAGAAGCCTTTAAAGTTGCCTCTTCAGATTTGTTTACATTACGACCATATGCATATTGTACACTACCTTTTAATGAAACAGCTGTTAATATTTAAATTGTGATTTATTGAATTTTTCAAAATAAAGTACAGGATTTGCAATGGGTTTTTCTGATTTTAAAATCGATTTTGTTCTGCATCGTGTCATGTTTTGCAATATAATGCTCTATTACCAAATTAGTGGAAAATCTTAATATCACAGTAACTCTTAAAATTATTTCTCATGGAGTTAACTTACATCTATTGTATGGCTTGGTTTCTGCCTTTTTTACCACTTCTTGGAGATTGTACGTAGGAGATATTCTTTGGCGTATTTCATCTGTAGACGAAACTTGGGTTGGTGAAATTATTACAATATAAAAAAGCGAGAAATCCTGGACAATTTGATATAGGCTAAAAATAAAACTGAATTAACAATATGCTACATTTCTTGAGCAATCATTGAAATAACCGATTTGCAAACAATGGAAACATAGAACACAACCAAGTAGAAGAAAAGAAATAATGTTTTTTTTTTTTCATTTATAATCGTTATTATAGACAACCTAATGCGGCTATGAGAGGGAAAAATTTGTAGAAAAACTAAAAAACAAGATCAGCTTTTTGAAAAAAGATAAGATATTTACAAAAGATTTTGATTATATCTAACTGTTGTGTAGATCGTGAGTATTTCCATAATCTTTGAGCCGCCTGTAATGCTTCGCAATTGCTCGAATTCGAGCAACAGGTACACTAGTAAACAATAAATTGCTAAGTCTACTGCATATTAATCAATATTGAATAGAATACAAGTATAAATGGTATAAAAACATCCTAGGACTAAGAAATGCAACTTTAAATATTTCTCTCTAGTTAATTTATTTAAATATACTTTAACATTATGTGCCAATTATTTTAAAAATAAATTCTTAAACTTGTTCACATTGTGTGGATATTCGGATTACCTGTTTTCGGACTGTGGTTAAAAATATCCTGAAAAGTGAAGATTGGACCCCACCTTTATGTTGGCTAACAAACTTCATACAGTAATGTAAAAATTATAACTAATAGTTTATAGTTAAACTGACATTTTGTTCCATTTGTTGAAATGAAGTTTAATATTACATAACATTTAAATTTTAATATGCATAGTAGATCTATTGTATGCTAGATAATGTGATAGAATCAAACTCCATTCTGGTGCTACCTCATCCAGAGATATAGAATATTATATTGGTAGTAACTTGCTCTCCTCCTCCAGATGGACTTTAGAACTCGCCTTAGTCGTAAAACCATATTGAACTTCATATGTTTTCAGGAGTCAACTGCCAGGAGTTCTACATCAGAAGAGATGTTCGGCCAATTGTCAAAGTATCTCCAGTGGATGCACTGTCACACACTTTTACATCAATGCTTGTCAATCCAGCAATACATATTGGAAAAGCATATGGACTTTTCGTCACCAGCATTAACGGTCAGCTATATTTTTTTCCCAAATCAAACAAACATTTGATCTAAAATAATAATTATTATCCCATTATTTACAAAAGTTCTTAAACCACGAATGGATTTTCTGCTCTATGATTACTCTTGTAAGATTGTTTGATATATTACCATAAATATACCTACTTTAAAAGTTATTCATTCTGTGCTCAGCAGTTAAAAATTGTTTTGGAATCATGCTATTTTCTGATATTGACATTAACTTCATGAATATTTCATGTCATGTTATTTATTGGTACCGAATTTTAAAATTATTAATGTGTTATCCTTTAACTAAAACTAAATTTACAAGATGTGTTTTTGTTTTTAGATCAGTTGGCGTGGTATGTAAAGCCAATCGCTCTACCCTTCATATTCATCATTCCACTTGTCTTCATCATCATTATCTGTGCTTTCGTCTTCAACTACAGGTTAAGTCTCTCAATAACTGGCATACATTTGATACCCACTTGGAGCCGGTTATCTGAGCCGGAAGTTGGACGAGAAAAGAATTATGTTGAAGAATGCCCTCGCAAAGAAACTGAAAATTCGCAACAAAGCAATACGTTCTCTTCATTTTTAGAAACCAACACACCATTGTTTATCATGAATTGGAACGGTTTGAAAAAGTTCAGTTCTAGTAATTTAATAGGAGATAAAGGCAAAAATAAAACTGACAAAGATACAGAGAAAATTTTAAAAGACAGTGATAACCACTTAAAAGATGAAGATAGCGATGAAAAATTGATGGAGGATTTACAAGAGTTTGAACAATTTGTGGACATGATGGAAAATAAAAAATTATTGGAAGAGATGAAAAAAAGAAGCACTGACAAAGTTAAAGAAGGCAAAAATCTTTCAGTTATTAGCAAATGTGAAATGCAAGAGGGGGCTATGGTTGTACGCACACTTGACAATGAAAATAGAACATATTCATATGAGAAAGAAAAAGACTCCAAAAACAAAACTATTTAGCAAGGTTTTTTTAGCTTTTGTTTTCATTGGTCTGTGATGTTGAATATCTGTGTTATTCACCCTAAAAGTCACACACAATGGTGTGTCACAGGCTAAAAGAGGTGATTAAGTACATAATACAGTGGATCCTCCATCAACAGTATTGGTCAAGAGTTTAAATGTGTCTTATCATTAAAATACATTGTCCACAAAACGTTATTCATTGGAAAAATGCTGTTTGAAAATTTCATACATCCCTTACAAATTTAAATTTCCCTTATATGAACCACTTGTAACTGATTTTCTATTAATTTTCAGAATTTAGCCTCTTGTGATTCACTTTTTACTCGGCTTTACAAAGTACCGGCTGGTACAGAGCAGTTAACATTGCCAGGCAGTTACTTTCCATGTGTGCAGTCAAAGAGACAGCTAAATTATTTATGAGCGATGAAGGTTCCACTGTTTTGATACGTGATTTAAATATTTGTACAAATACTTATAATTTTTAAGTTGTTTTCTACACCTCTAAGTATTATCAGTTATATTTGATGGTTAGTTTTTTTTACCCTGCGTGTGTATAAAGTAAACTCATTGAATGGAAACAAGAAACAAGTATTGAGATTAGTGTAATGAAAAATCAATCATAACGCAAGAAAATTCAAAGCTCTCTTGTAAACAACACTGTAACTGCCCCTCCCACCCTCTATGACTCTATGAACTTATAGTATTGAAATGATATAAAACTATTCAACAGTAGATATTAATTAAAATTTTTATCTTAATCCCAAGAACTACTGTCAATAGTCAATGATATAATCAATGTCGAGATACCATGGTAAATTTAAATATAATTTTAGGTAATTCATATTTTTGGGCCATAAATAAATAGCAACTGGGCACCGAAAAACTGGCATCGCTATACTTGGCGGTGCAATACTGCCTAACACTGCCCATGTACTGTTGACCGGTCGACTCCCTGGCCTGCTCTCTTCCTGTCATCCTTGTTTTGTACATCAGTCGATCGTTCATACTGAATCTCATATCGTATGTCTGATATTGTCATTTTTCACCTTAAATTTTTGTTGTCAGCTTAGACATTGATTACGCATGTAAAATCAAGCAGTGGTGTCTTGATCAAAGCTAATCCAATCTTCAAATCTTTGACTCTCACTAAAAAAAGTAATGGCAGAGATATAATAAACCCTCATATTAAATCCATACATATTGTGTTCTCAGTACGGTTTTGCACTAAAAGTGTGACTTTTCAATTTACAAACCCTTGTTACCAAACTTATCTTAATTGAGTTTTTGTATAGGTTAGTTCATATTGTGTAACTGATCCCTTGAAGTTTGTACTATCACAGATCCACTGTATTTATTGGATAAATACACTTTTAACACTAAAGTATTAGCTACCAATAAGGTATTTTACCTACGACAATTTTTTTTTTTTTTAAACTAGCCGTTTCAGTTCCAATCTTAGAATTGAAAAGATTCACTTAACAGCATTGTTGTGTTAATTAACATCACGGGTAACGGACCAATGAGGTTCAAGGATTGAGGGAGAAGAAGTAAAATTGTATGCTTCAAACGTCAACTAATCAGGTTTTTAGGCCAATTTAAACTTAATAAGTGGCACAGATAGTGTTTGGTACAACAAAATCACTGTCAGTTGCAATGAGAGGTTGTAAACAAAAACATAACCTCTATTAGAAGTTATGAGCTATGATTGTTAGTAATAAAAAAAACTGTCGTAGGTAAAGTAGTGTATGCAACTCATGTAAATAGTCTTAACGACACTCGTAGCTAGGTTTTTAAGGCACTCGCCAAGGCTCTTACCTTAAATTTCTACTCTTGTCGTTAACACTATCTTTACGTGACCCTTGCATGAAATACTATTAAAACTATATTTTCTCGAAAACATTTTGTTCTTGTAAAAGAATTCATTGGACCTTGAATACTAAACCATTTTTGCTACTTAAATATTTTTAGTTCTATTTATTTTAAAGAAAATTGTTGACACTGTTATTTTTACATTTTAGTTCTACTTAACATCAGCATTTAATTTGTCTTTGTATTACTGTACCTTTGTCATTAATAGGATGGATAAGAAAATAAAGTGTTTAAGCCTTTCACAACAAGCATATGCTGATGAGTACTGTTAAATGTATATTTGTAAATTGTACTTAGAAAATAAAAATTTTTTGAACTTAAATTGAAAGGGGATTTGTTCTTTATAAGGTATACCAAACAGTAATCCTTCACCAAATTATGAACAAAATCGTCCATATTTTTCATTCACTCATACCATGGATAAAACCATAGTCCCTTAGTAGATTTCCCATCCTTATGGAACAGCTGAAGCCAATTTTATTGATAGTTCTGTCCGGTTTTCTGTAGATGTCGTGTTTTGTTTACAATTTGTTTCTTGTTATTTCAGTAATTTAAAATTTCGTTTAACCAAATAAAACTATCTAATCATTAACAATAACTCGTCCACTAGCTATATAACCAAACAGTGAGACACAAATAATTAGAAACTAACCCTAAAATAATAGACACAAATTGTAAACAAAACACGACATCTACAGAAAACCGGTCAGAACTAACAATAAAATTGGCTTCAGCTGTTCCATAAGGATGGGAAATCTACTAACGAACTATGTTTGATCTATGCTCATGGACAAGTGTACACTACCTATTTCTATTAACCGTTGTGCAATGATGTTTGTTTATATGACAACAATTGGCATAAATGCTAGCTTTATACTTCTAGCCAGTAGCGTAAGTACATCGAGTACCTCTTGTCCCCCCCCCTCCCGAAAAAAAAAAAAAACATCACCACTTATGTTTTATTTGTTTATATCAGCAAAATCCGTGATTGCAGCAAAGTCAAAAACTCTCGGAGCCGTTTTTTGGTCATGGAAACTCGGCATTGTTTTCAATAGTGAAAATTTTGGATATCTTATCCGGTCTTGTAGATAACATGTTCATCTCCCGCAGTCACGGAAATGGTGACATATTTTTCTGCGATTGCGGCAAAATCATGAACGTCTTCTTCGCTCTTGACATCATCATAGTCTCCCAAGATCACGGAAAAAGTCACTTATAGTGCCTAAATCATGGATGTTTCTTCGGCCTTGTAGACATCATGTTCGTCTCCCGGGGTCACGTAAACGATGTAATCTTTGTTACGCAATTGCGGAAAAATCATGAATATCTTCCTCGGCCTTGAAGACATCATCGTCTCCTGCAGTCACGGAAACATCTTTTTCCGCGATTGTGGCAAAATCTTGAATATCTTCTTTGCTCTTGAAGACAAAAACATCAAAGCCTCCCGTGGCAATGGGAACCTTTTCCGCTATTGCGGTGAGTGGTGACAGTTGGATGGTTGGACCTCGGCGCGGTGCAGGAGTGTAATTAACACCACTGCCACTGCCTGGTATGCATATTTAGGTGTTGCATCACAAATTGTGAAACCAGTTTCTGTAGGACAACTACAATATTTTAAAAACCCTCTAGTTGGAATATAAACACATGCTCTTCATTTGCTAAACAAGATGTTCTCTTTGCTAAACTACAACTATTATTAACGCTCAAGAAAATTTTCACATAAATACATTTTGCTTGGGCAAAAAGTTAATTGTTAGAAAAAAATTTGCAACAAGAGAAGATCGGCACTTTTAGTAGAATGCAGTGCAGAGTATAGGTGTGTGCAAGACTTTTGTGAACTACACAAGTAGGACCATGCCCCATGTCAATTGCAAATGGGAGTTAGGCCTATTGCCTATGACAGATGTCTGCACTCAATGAATATCCATTATTCTTCACAGAATCTCACCACCAGGACCGCCTGGCCACTGGCCAGACTATTTGCGAAAAAAGCATAAGCAGTGATTTGAGGCATGGTCTCATAGTACAGTAGTTGCAGTTAGTCTGGGTGTGCGGACCCTTGTGTACTAACCGTCCCTCACGCCAAAGCCATGAAGACAGCGCTGAGACGCTGAACAACCCCAGAGAGCCGTGTGGGCTAGATGTTTTTGGAAATGAGCAATAAACACTCCCCCCTACACCCCCCGCCGTAGCGTGGCTGCGCGCCCAGACTAGCTGCGACTACTGTACAAAACAGGTTACAGGTTACTGTGCTGGAAATCCCACATGTTCGGCTGAACCTAGATAAAAAAATGTGGATTAACATTTGGTAGTAACAACATCTTTAAAAAGGCTGTAAATAATGTTTTTATCACTCCACACCAAAAGTAGCTATTCGATAACAGCTGATATCCAAGAAAGTAGTTGTTTCCCAAGTTCTAATTTAGAAAGAGGGAAAACCCGACCCTAACAGCTGATTTTCCCTCTCTCTAAATGTACTTACCCTCGCACTCGATTAGTTCTCCATTTACCCACTATGCGCTAGTGTTTTGTTACTATTTAATTTAATAATTTAAATCAGCTGTTTTCATTTTTGCACAATCTAAATGTACACAGAAACAGAAATTATAGTTCAGCCGCTTAGAAAACGACCTGCGCGCTAATGCTAAACCAATGCGGGAGGAGGTCGCTTTCTAAGCGGCCGAACTATAGTTTGTTTTGATGTGTTTTTAGCATAGTATGTGTTAGAAATTGCTCTATTCCTGATGATTTGATGAAAAAAGCTTTAGAGATAACTAAACCACTTTCACCAGAGAAATCACGGGAAATATATGAAAAGGAATACAGAAAGATTAGGACTGTTACAAAGTGTAAAATGGCAAACCAAATAAAGTAAGTGAAGAATATATTTATCTGAGAAATCTATAATCATGAAACCATATACGTTTGTAGATTGAGAAGTAGATTTTTCATTAAAACTAAAACATGTGTGTGTTTCAAAGCATCAAACAAGTTACGGTACAAATGGAGTGCTTGCCACCAACAATGAAAACATTATAGTAAACATAACCTTGAACTTCTGGTTTTAAGTTATTATATTATCTCTTTGGAAAATTTTCTTTTATTTTGATTTTTTAAAACTTTAATTGATTTAAAATTTGAATTTATTATTAATGTGTTTTTTACTTTCTCCCCCTATGCATAGAATATGGAGAAAATATTGTTTCGTCAAAGTTTTCGAGTGGATATATCCGTTTTGGGTCCCCCTGAACCCCAAAAAGTGGTTTTTTAAGTGATGTCTGGGTGTGTAAAGAGCTACAGACCACACCTGTAGTCCGATTTTGGTGAAATTTGGTATGTAGGTACTAATCCATGGTATCTCCAGGTGTTTTTTTCATTTTTTTGAAATTGTAATTGTTAATCGGAATTTTCCCATAAAATAACGGAAAAATTTAATTTTCTCAAAAATAGTTCAAAAATTTAGTATGTTGAAGCCCTTTAAATTCTGAACAAAACTACACGAATCCCATGTCTGTAAAAATTACGGTACAAAAGTTATTGTAAATATGTTATTTTCCTATAAAACCCCCCATAAAATAACAAAAAATTGGATTTTAGGAAAAAAGCCGGTTTTGATTCAACTTTGTATGTTATGGTCCTTAAAATTTGGAAATTTTTTTACTTTTTTGAAATTTTGATTTTTAATGGGGATTTTCCCATAAAACCCCATAAAATAGTGGAAAAATAAGATTTTCTCGAAAATGGCCAGAACGATTTTGATATAAATTTAGTATGTTATAGTCCTTTAAAATCTGAACAGAATGGTAAAAATCCCATTTCCGTAAAAATTACGGTTCACAAGTTATTGTAAATGATGTTATTTTCCCATAAAATAACAAAAAAATCTGATTTTTGGGGAAAAGCTGGCTTTGATTAAAATTAATATGGTATGGTCCTTATAATTATAAAAAAATAGTACAACACCCCATTGCTGTAACAATTATGGCTCAAAAGTTATTGCAACTTTTGTGTTTTTTTACTATAAAATATCATATTTACTCTTATCGCTTACCCATGATAAAGGTTGTTGATAAGCTTATGGGAGAAAGTATGTGTCAGAATGCTGATACCGTTTTTTTTACATTGTGATGAAATTAAAAAGTATCCTTAGATTTTCCTCGTACATGCAAATGACTCTCACATGCTTGGCTTCGCCTCACATATGACATTTGGTTTTCCTGTTTGAGGCAAAGCCGAACACATGAAACTTGAGCGTGCGCCGGAAAATGCTACTTTCGGTCCTAGTAATGAAATATACTATCAGCAGTATACAGTGAGTGCTTCTGATGAATTATTTTAATATAAAAATTTAAAATCTGTATTTTCTGTATTTAATTGCTTTATTTAGTAAATGAACCTATTATGTTGAAAACCGCTCAAAATTTAGATCTTTTTGGCAGATTTTCTGAATGGGGAATAAGCTGATACGTAGTTCTCATAGTAAGACCTAGACCAGGGAACAGGAACCGCTATATTTTGCCTCTACAAGGGGACTTCATCAGAAGAAAGAAGTGAAAGCAGTTTGTTATTGGGTGGCTAGGTGTAACAGTTTTGTAAAATAATCACCACATTATTTTCTTCTTTAAGTCCTCCCTTTGAGAAAAATTCTAATAAAAATGTAAGGAAGTAATAAGAAATTATAATTTATAGAACAGTACAAAATTTATTAGTACAAATTTCAGTATTTACATTTCAGTTGAGGTGAACTTAAAAATAGTTTTGTACTTGACCACATTTTCCCAATATGTGTAAAACCATACACTTACAAATCTTTCACAACACTCATTTACAAACATTAAAAAGAAGGAAATGCACCTCGATCAAAGAACTAACACTTGTTCTACTTTCAGTAAATGGCAGGTTAATTAAAATTAAAATACTTAATATATGAATGGACAAATAAAAAACACCCAGATATAAACTATTGTTATTGCTTGATGTTTCTAAAACATCTTACAATTCATAATAATCGATTGTTTGAACAAAACCGAATAAACTAAATCATAACTTATGTTAGGCTACTTACAATTTTGTATAAAGTTACTGAAAATTTGATTATATCAAAGAAAAGTAAAGAGATTAAAACATCAACTTATTGCACATGATTTGAGACAGTTTTCCTTTATGGGACTTTAAATAAGAGTACAGAAAGTTACGACATCCTCTTCACATGTTTTTACAAAACACAACAATTAACTATCATTCTGGTTCTGGCACATCTTATTAATTTTAAGATTTGTTTGCTTGCGCAT